CTTCAAGGCACAACCACAAGACAGAGATCACAAATTCCCTCATTGTTATTGTCATGTTAATTGTTGACTTAACTATCCTATGCCCACCTATGTGAAAGAAGATGTGTCTTTCATTTTACTTCTTATCCAATCCCAGAGATTTCCCCACTTTGCTTTCTCCCACCTCCCTAAACTATCACCAATGGATTTCATGTAACCCAGTCTTACATTCTCCTCCTTTGTGGGTAATTTATAAAATATGTGAAAAACCACTGTTCTCCAGAGCATTATCTCAATATTTTGAAATTCTGTTTCCTGGCAATTGTCAACAGTTTAGTTCAAATTAACTCACAAAAATTCTTTACAGGTTTGAATGTTTCTTAACACTAGATTAGATATCAAAGAAATACATTTAAGAAAGTATCCTTAAATGCACCACAGGAATTTCCCAAACCTGCACATCAATGTTTTCTAAAAACATGTACTGAGGATACCAGGGCCTGGTCATTGACATGGGGCATCGGGTAGTGCCCCAAGTGAAAAAAAAGTTAGTGGCACATTGTGTTTGGTTCACTTAGTATATCTCTCTTTCTTTTCCTTCCTTCCTTCCTTCCTTCCTTCCTTCCTTCCTTCCTTCCTTCCTTCCTTCCTTCCTCCCTCCCTCCCTCCCTCCCTTCCTCCCTTCCTCCCTCCCTTCATTCCTTCCTTCCTTTCTTCCCTTATTTCTTTCGTTCATTTTTTTTCCCTTTTTCTGCCACATATATTTATTCTCAACGTTTAGATTTCATCTACAATACAGGATTTCTGGTTCTCTCGAAACATTATTAGAAAGGGCAACTTTAGATGGCTGGAAGTGAACAGAGACCCCATTAAACTCCCAGTTAGTCCGAGTCACCACTACTCCCTAGTGTGTGCCTGGCTTGGAGGATAAATGTTGGCAGTCTTTCATTGTTACCATGTGCTGTTTTTCCTTCTAGTAAAGAAATGCCTTGCTTTTCCCAGTGTGTAGGTGTAAGATAATCTAAAAGGACTGTGCGTTTCTCTGGCCTTCTCTGTTTGCTCACTTATTTTACCTGCCTAGCCTCTACCGGCACCTGAATATTTGATCCTTAAACTAGTATGTTTGTCAGAAAATGCAACTTACTACCTATAGCAAAAAACGCTGGAGATGGCTACCTATTGTTGAGATTATCATGTCATTGAATTTTTAGGGCACTCTGTTCCCTGGCACTGTGTTGAGTACTTTATCTCCCATAATAGTCATAGATATCCTACGTAGTGAATCCTATTACGTCTGCAATTCCCACTTGAGAATACTGGTGTGTGGAGAGCTTAAGCAACCTGCCTGTCGGTCAGTAGCTAGAGAAAAGCAAAGCTGATACCAAAACCCACCTCTCTATATAGTGTCTTTGTCTAGTTTTTATCCTTCCTCAGATCTCTAAGAAATAAAAGACCCCCAGCCAACCCCCACGCTTCTCCAATATCTAGGAAATCCCTGAGAATCTAGTTCTCAACTTGTGTTGCCAAGCAAGCATTTAACTTCCAAAGAGCAGAGTAAACCCCAACTCCTCTCCAAGTATTGGAATCCTCAGGCAAAATCAGCAATATGGAAGTAGCCCAATTTTCTGTTTGTGGAGCTTTCTGATGGGTAGAGTTTCCAAATCCTTACATGTCATTCTATAGTCTCCTCTTATACCCAAGTTAACTGTTCTGGGGATCCACGTCCTCCACGAGAGTATTAACTTTGGTCTTCCATAGCACAGTCTTCTAGCCATCCGTCTCATTGCACTTGGGGTCCAATCTTATTAATCGTTGGAAACTTGGTAGCTACTCAAACTTTTGTTGGCTACATGACTGAAGGAATGCATGGCTGTGATGTTGGTATTAATAGTTATATTTCACCATTTGAAGATGACCTTAAAAGTGTGATGACTCCAGTAATGTATAATTTTGCTGAATGTAAGTTTGATGTTTTGTGAGAATGAATAAGATAACTAATGAATCTCATAGATCACTTAATTTTCTCCTTTCACTGTGACTTCATTGGTCCTGACTTTTCTTTTTCCCTAGCTTTATTGAGGTATAACTGACAACTAAAATTAGTACACAATTAAGGTGTACAACTTGTTGATTTAATATTCTCATACTTTGTAAAATATCTGTCACACTCAAGCTAATTAGCATAGCCATCATTCCACATAGTTACCACTTTCTTGTGTGTGTGTGTGTGTGTGTGAGTGTGCGTGTGTGTGTGTGTGTTGATAATATCCCCTCCTACCACTCTTGTTAAGGATCGAAGAGGGTCTCTGTATACTTTCAGTTACATTGTATTACAATTTATCAGAAATGTCTTTGTAGTGATGATACTCATGAACTAGCAATTGGAAAAAATGTTGAGAACCGCTTTCTTTGAATACCAAAGGTCTTCAAGGGCTCCCACTATCTTTATGTAATTAGAATTTGCATTGGATTTTCTAAGTAGGTTCTTCTGTGACTGTCCATGGACCCTTTAGGTATCACACTCAGTCCACGTGTCAGGATAAGCTTCTGAGTAGCTCCTTTTAGGTATATGGAAGAGAGGTCCACGTGATTCATTCTTGGAAATTAAGAATGCATGGCTACCAGGAATGGGATGTGGGCTGCTTATGCCAACATCTGGCAGGAAGTTGGGGTCCACACTGAATAGCCTTGTGTTATTGTCGCCGGTTGCTATTTGAGTGCTCTTTGGTTAGATGATGGGGAAAGTAACACATTCACATACACACAGGCATGGCCAGAGATCTTGTTACTTCACAACAAGAGCAAATGACTTCACTAATTACTTCCTCTTGTCTAGCCTCAGTTTCTGCATCTTTAAAATTGGGATAACTATTTCCTCTCTATAGGATTTCCTATGGGCCCTGGGTATTTAATATGCTTCGCCTACTGCCGCACAGTTAATATTCCAGAAATGTTGGCTGTTAATGAACGTGCTTTGAATTGTATGCAAAATCCCACAGGTCCAGTTTTCAGCCCCTGGGTATGACATTGATCAATAACTCTTTCTTTAAAATAAATATGCATACATATGGCTTAAGGAATAATATTTAGCTTCCTGACTTCATTTCCTCTCATAAACAGTACACGTGAGCACCTATGCATATGCATGAGAACGTGCATGCACACACACATGCTCACTACTTCATAATTTTTTAAAGTTCCCAACAGTCAGGGTGATGTTGTCATGTATTAACTCTGGCAAGTGGCAGAGCTCTCATTTTTACCCAAGTAGAAAGGTTTCAGGACCCATAAATCGGAGGTGGCTTCGTGGCAGCACTGGGCATCCTAAGTCTGTTGTGAAATTTCTATTCCGTTTAAGGATAGGTCTTGGCTGCTGGAGCTGAGAAAATGGGTCAGCAGAATAAATAATTCTCCTATTATATTGAGAGTATATGTCTGTTTAATGATGCCCCCTTTAAAAATATGAACAAAATTATTGAGCCAACTTGGCAGCTGCTGGCACAAGGAAGAAGAAGAAGACCAAAACTACCAAATGCTGATGATCATAACAGAAAAAAAAAAAAAAATCCAATCAGTATGGAATGGTGGAATAAACCCATAGATCCATGTATGGAATATTATGTAACTACTCAAAAGGATGAATTGGGTCTGTATGTATTAACACTGAAAGAATTCCAAATGGATGTATGAACACCAATTAAAAATGATATGTACACCATGATACCATTTACATAAAAAGCAGGTACACAATACTGTGAATGTGGTAAGTAGATACTTACTCCAGATACATGCAAAAATGCAAAATAAAAGTACAGACATAGATCTGTAATGGAGGCCTCCTCTGAAGAGGAAGAAAAGAAACCCCGTTGCAGTGCTGTTATTCAAAGTATATTTTAGCCTTTTTGTTAATGTTTCATTCTTTCTTTCTTTTTTCCAAAGGACTCTACATTTCCATGTTTTATGTGTAATTAAAACGTTAAAAATGGAAAATTCAATACTTTCCCTTTATGACAGTAATAAAATTATTCTTAAAAACCTATAAAACAAAGAAAAAATATCTTCTAGTCTCACAATTCAATTCAGCCATTACCATTTTGGTGTAATTCCCATCATAATTTAGTTCAAATCATGCTATACATATAATTTTTTATTTGAAAAAATGTTCATTCATTATGGGGCTCTCTCAGTTTTAACTCTGCTCATTTTAATGGGTATAAGATTCCCCTAAGCATATACACTTTAATACTGTATTACTTTCTTTATAATATTTGGTACAATTAAGTATGTGATCAGCATATCAGCAGTTTTTCTCCCTATATATCTTAAGAGAGATGTACCCTGCAGAGGATTAGAGAATCAAAATATTGGAATGTTTCTAGTGACTTTCCATGTATACGTGAGCTCTTAGTGTGGGGAGTGTTGTGACACCTGGCCGTTAAGGAGGGCCAGAATGCACTGTCCGGAGGGGTCAGTGAAACATCCTCGCCTGACCCAAAATGATGCTGGGCAGCCCAGAGAGTAAGAAACAAGCACTCACGCATTCTTCTCTCACTCTGGAACTCGTCATGAGGGAACCTCCAAGCCCCTTCAAAAGCCTAATAACTCCAGAGGAGACTCAAAGAAGGAACAAATTCTGCAGCCACACATCCAAGAATGACTAGTGATCAATGAGGTAATGGTTAACTAACAAACAAACAAAAAGCCTCCATCCCCGCCCCCCCTCAACTTACTATTATAACAACAAATTAAATGACCCAACCAATTCCCAAATGTATCTCACCCCCAAATGGGAGCTATCCTAGAGAGGCTGGAAGAAGAGCACGCAGGTTAACCCGAAACTAACCTCACCCGCGTTGGGGAAATGATGTAATTGGCTCAGGTGGTTCCCTGTAGCAGGTCAGCATTAAGGACACCCTCGCATGCAAAGGCAAACAGGGCTTGTTGAAACTGACTCTCTAGTGAAATTATTGGCAGGTTCAGAGGCACAGGCGATTTCTGGTAAAAGGCCAGTGTGTACTCACCATTTGTATAAGGGTTGACAGTCTTTTTGTTTGTCATTACACGTGCTGTAGCATTATTTACCTATGCACACAGAAAACTCAAGTGAGCACATATTCCGGGGCCAACCCACAGTTCCATTAGTTGCATGCATTATGACTGTGATTACTTACTTAAAAAAAAAAATAAAACAGAACAAACTAAAATGCATTTTAATTTATAAAAGGCAGTAGGTGCATAACAAAAAAATCATACATTTTTATAATTACATTTACTTCATAACCGTTTTAACTTACAAATCATTTCAATAAAGCAATGTCATATCATTTAAGTTTAATAAGGAGACAGTAAAAGCAAATTAAAAGGAACTGCATAATTGAAGATTTAAAAGCATGCGTGTACTCCATGGTAACACAGAAACAATAGCTTTTAAACAGAAAATAAAGTTCATATGAAGGAACATGCAGTGGAGTAGAAGAAGGGAGAGACAAGGTACAAGGGAACATAAATGTCAAAAAAAGGGACAAACAAGTTTTCGCCGTGTGCAACACGTTGGGGGGGAAGAACCATCGGGGAAAGCAACATCTAGCATTCAACACTCGGAACAAGAGCCTTTGACATCGCAAGAATTAACGAAATCATTCAAGCTTTAAGTCACAGCTAACAAAAGGATAAAAGAGAGGGTGCATTGTTTAACACAATATGGAGTTAACGATCTGAGTAAGATGTGCACCGGTCATGTCTCAATCCAGTCAGTGCCTTCCAGGCTAGCTTAGAACGTACACTCAATTACAGGCGTACCAATATCCAAAAAAATAGAGCATCAAGAAAACTTAATATGACAAGTCAAAAAAAGTCACGTGGTATATATATATGTATATAGAGATATCAGCACTAAATACGTGTAACGGCAGATGGACTTCACCACTTACCATTCACCACCATCGCCAGCATGGGTTTGTATACAGTTACCATGGTTACTGAGAGTTTGGTGAGGGGCCTAAGCGTTATCGTCGAGGGGGGAAAATAAAAGGCAAAATATGCAACATCTTACTCCAAAGACTAAAGCATTTGTAACTGGTATTTTTTTTCTCTCTTTTCTTAAAGTTTTAACAAATATGACCCTGTGGCCACGTTGAGGGAGAGATCCAGTGGTAGGAGATGGAGATTTCTAAGTACCAGAATTTTAGTATCAATTTTATCCATGAAGAGGAACCAGATATTGAACAGGAAATCCCGTTTGCTTATTCAATTTATTATCAGAAGAATACAAAGGTTCGAGCTTCTTTGACTTCTTAAAAAAAATGAAAGGTTTAAAGACAAAACCTCTCATTTTTTTCCAAATATAAAACAAGTTGTTCTTTCGATTGCTATTTCTTTCACAATTTGGCTTAATTTGCACACCACTGTGGATCCCTCGTCAACCCTGCGGTGGAAAGAAAAAGAAAAGAAAAAGAAAAAGAATCTGCTCTGTATTTTGTTCTGTTTTTGCAACACTCTCTCCACTGTCTGGAACCTACTGCACCCATTGGCTTGAGGGAATGGAAAATAAAATAATCAAATCAAATCAAATCAAAAAACTTTCAGATTAACCTTGTTTTGGTCTCACGTTTGCCATCCACCTTTCAGCAGTAATAAGAGTAACATAATAAAATAAAATGAAAAAAAAAAGTAAGGCCAGTTTTCCTTTTTATATATAAATATATAAATATATATATATAAACAATGAGAAGGGAATAGGGTCACATACAAGACACAATGATGCATCTGAAACAACGAATGAGCGTGAAAGCAGACATTTATCAAAAAGATGTAAAGGAAAATATTTTGAACATGCACCTCGATTTTACGGCCCTCTACCACGGTGCCGTGTAATTTCTCCCTCGCCCTGTCCGCATCGGCACTATTTTCGAAAGTTACGAAACCAAATCCCTGCATGCAGGAGGGAGAAGGGAAAACAACATGCAGATTATTATTTCAGTCAACGACCACTGTGTAACGTTCTCTCGCTTTAATTTCTATGTCTTGTCCTGGCTTCCGTTCTGTAACATGCAAATTAGAGAAATTATAAGAGTACTAAGATGTGCAATCAGTAAGCAACAAATGTGAACAAGATATATATTTTTTTTTCTGTCACCAGTTAGCTGTAACCCCTGAAGAATTCAAAGAATGATACCCAAAATACCTTTCTAAATGTCACTACAGAAGAAAATAAGTCTAACGAAAAGAAAATGAGATCAAAATAAATGTACGGTGTCTTCACAGAGAATAAAATGAAATAACAAGGAAAGTAAAAAGGGAACCACTTTCTTGACATGCAAATTAAGAATAAAGTAAAATAAAACGTGTGCATGGAATTCAACAATGAATGCCAAAATCTTCTAACATTGCCTACAGAGTCATGCCGTGTGGTTTTAAGAACATCTCTTCCTCATGCAGTTTTAGGGTTATTCAAATTGGTCAATTCTACAGCCTTTACTTCTCAAAAATAAAAATCAGAAGCCTAAAAAAAAAGGAAAGACCTTTTTTTATAATAAATCTTAAACCCTTGGATCTAATAAACAAAATAATCACATGAAATGAATAGAAATAAACATCAATTGATCAATAATGCAAACAGTTCAAGTAAGTCTTTTGTATTAATACTTCCCCCTCCCATCACCAAAAATGAAATACATGCTTAGAAATTTGTCAACTTCCCAGACTACCTTATTAACCAAAAGGGGAAATGAGTCAACATATGATAAAGTTCTAACACATTATGTTGATTTTCATTTGTCATATCAACAGGTAGACAATAAAGCCTCTTTGTTAATAGGATGTTATCTAAGATAACACTGGGCACTTCCTCTTCTACTGGTAGATAACATACACCCTTCACTTCACCACTGGCAAATTTTGTGTTAATTTTTCAGCCTCAAAAAACAAGCCCACTAAACGTTACATTGTCAAAAGCCATCTTTTTTTTTTTCTTCACTGACACTGTTCCTAAGAAGAGTACAGAAAATATGACACATTATTTTTAAAACCCCTAAAAATAAGCGTACGTCTTGTTCAAATATATACACCAACCTTTTGAAACACTGCCAGTGTCAATTTGCCCAGCTCGTTCTGTTTTTCACAGTGTAAACTAGGTGAAATAATGCCATGTGCGGGGATATTTCAACTATGCGTAAAGGTAAATGCTGGCTTTAAGCTTAGTTGGGGCAGGAAGATAATCTATTTTACGAATAAAAGTAATAGGTAGTCATAACCAACTAGTGTTAACTTCCAATCACTCACAAGGTCACTAGAGCATTTTCTGAAGCTCAGGGCATTTGAGAAGGGTGCCCCATGGTCTTGCCTAATGGAGAACTTTCCAGTGTCAGCGTGGGCTCCTCTGTAGAGGACACCAGCTGTGAATGGATTCAAGCTAGAGGACATGCCTCTCTGGCAGGATTGCATAGTGAAAAAGTAAATTTCTTTAATTTGGGAAGTGGACGGAATTACCTTTCATAACATTTCCCATGGTGAGGATCTGTGGTTAAGATCGGTCTGAAATGTTTGTCCTAGCCTGGTTTCTCAGTGGTTAGAGCATCAGCCCTCAGACTGAAGGGTCATGGGTTTGATTCTGGTCAAGGGCACGTACCTCAGTTGCAAACTCGATCCCCAGCCCCAGGTAGGGTATGTGCAGGAGGCAGCCAATTGATGTGTCTGTCTCTCATTGATATTTCTCTCTATTTCTCCCCCTTTCTACCACTGTCTCTGGAAATCAATTCTTCGGTGAGGATTAACAAAAACAAAACAAAACAAACAACATAAAAAAAAAATAGGTCTGAAATATTTGATTAATATAAAATTATATGCTCCATAAGAGATGGACTCTAGGTGGTATACCTATGTTTGGTACTCAAATAAACGTGCTAACTAAATAATAATAGCTCTTTGATGAGCAAACAACATAATTTGGAAGGTTTGCTCTCTTTGATGGCTCTGGGTTCCAAACTTAGTTGCACATCAGAAGGAACCGGGAGCATATTAAACACTTAGATGCCGATCCCTGCCATGTAGCCACCAGATCAGAATCCCCAAGAGGAGCCCAGGAATCTGTCACAAAAGCTGCTGCGTGGTCCAGCCTCTGGGTTCCCATGGCCTCTCAGCACCAAGCACCATCAAAAGAAGCTTCGATCCTTTGTATGAAGTAGAATATTTTACCGCCGATGTCTATAGTGCAAACCTAGGGAGTGGGTTGAGTTTCTGAGGTGAATATCTATCTGACACGATTATTTGGATCTTAGATCAGCCAAAACCATATTGCAATGTTCTCATCCTCACCAATAATCCAAATTCCCTAGCATCCATAGCCATGCCATACATTTACGGTAATAAGTATTAAGGGAAACCAGGATTCTGGCTGTCCTGGAGGCAATTCTCTCACTAGGCAAGGAAGAAAATTCCATAGTTCCAGTCATAGATAGAGGGCTTGGTGGCATCATCGGTGTCTATGGGCACTAGCAGTCATTATCACCATAGTGCTGGGAAGAATGTAGGTGAATCTGAACATTCAACCTACCTAACATCACGCCAAGGAACCAAGTGTCAAGAATCTAGTCTGAACCCAAGGCAAACCATCCTGGCCTGAAATCTGCATTGTGTATGCCAAGGAGGAATAAAGATGAAGATGCAAATATATTTTGAATCCCAAGGAAAGTTGGGAGGAAGACTCCATACCGCGGAAGTAAGGATAGTACTTTATTAGTAGTAGTAGTACTCAATTTCTGTTAAACTTCTCTCTCTCTGAGCTTCTCAATACTTCTCTATTCAAGCTGATGAGTTCAAAATTGTGTGAAGTTGGGTTCATGAATAGCTTGCTCCAGAAACAGTCCCTCAAATACCCAAGGGACTTTCCTTCCTGTTCCATTGGACCTTCATATACCCCACCCAAAGGAGCGATCAGACCTCCTGCGTCAGATGTCTGCCAGAATTCTCCCCTGGGGAAGTTCACCATAACCAGAGAGACCCTCACCTGGCCACTTTCAGGGACCCTCTCCATCATGCAGAGGTACCAGGCAATGCTGCGAGCTGGTGCTGAGGTGGTTTCTTTTGATCTGCCTCATGGTCAGAATTCTATCGCAAGCAACCAGCAACTTGCCTTTCTTAAAGATATTTTGAATACTTTTATCTCAGTCTTAGCAAGGGGAACAAAAGAACAGTGTAGACCTGGCTTGGGGAGCAGAGGAACTGTGTGTAATGCTGATGGGTAGTCCCTTAAAGATGAAGAGTGCAGCCCTAGCTGGTTTGGCTCAGTAAATAGAGCATCGACCTGCAGACTGAAGGGTCCTGGGTCAAGGGCACATGATATATGTGTGTGTATATATATATATATAATATTTTTTTAAAAAGGTGAAGAGTAGCTGAAAAAGGCACTGTGCTTCTGGAGAGGAGGGTCTGTGACATGTTCCCCAATATGGGAAGGAATGATCCACAGGCCAGATAATATGAATTTAAGAGAGACAACCAGACTAGCGTGGCTTGGTTATTTTTAAAGCTTTTGGTGAATCGTGAATTCTGATTTCCCCAAACCGCAGTTATTTTTCTACTTGGTCATGTAGCATACATTTAGGTGATAACTTCCTTTTTTGCATGAATGCAAATACATTTTATAGCTCACGCAAAAGCTCTGAAGGATGGATGAGTACACTGACTTTCCACCTGACAGGAAAATCCAACCCCTCTAGTGTCTGGTGCAGAAAACTGCTCTCTGTACGAGGGAGCTGCTGATAAGGCTCTGAAGGTTCATCTTCCTGTGGAGTTAAGAGCTTGTTTCTTCTTTGACCTTTGTCCATGCAGCTCTTTCTCCTCGGACATCTTCCCTCCTTCCTTTCCCTGGAGAACTCTTACCCATCTTTCTCCTTCAGCTTACATGCCCCTTCCTCCCAGAAGCCTCCCACTTCTAACAACACTGGCCTGCCCGGTGGGCTTCAGCAGCCTCTCCCTCAGCACAGAGCACAGCATCCTCCGCTGCAGAGGTCTGTCTCCTAGGCCTGTCCTTCCTGCTGCTCAGGCGTTTGTGAAGATGACGGGAAGCACTCCCATCTAGCCCATGGTTGACTGGCCCATCTGGTACCTGGGATGTAACCCATACTTACAGATGTCTATGGAGCAAAAGGCAAGCCTGTATATTTCCCAGGCATATTAAAAAAGTAGCTATATTTGTCTGTATCCTCAAATAAAACATTTCAGAGCCAAATAATATGTTTTTAAATCCCCTAGGAGTAAAACGAATTATAGCACCTCTCACTCCTAAATGCTATCTAGTTCTCATTTACAAAGACGAGCATAGGTTGTTGTTATTGTTTTTTTTGTAATGTGGTTATCTTGTACACTTTCTATTCCTAGATGAATGCGTTATTCATGTTACACATTCCTGGATAACATAGATACCACTCGTCTAGGTATCCACACACCACACACACACACACACACACACACACACATCGAACACACACACATCGAACACCCATAGAACACCTAACCATACTCAATGAGCATTGAGTGACCTGCCTTGGGGAGCAGCCAGGAGGTGAGCTCCCAGCTCTTAGGGTCCACCCACTTGCTGGCTGCCCCTCCAGCACCCAATGATGAAAATGAGGTCATAATAGCGGATCAGGTTTTTCAGCCATTAAAATGGAAACGTTCCTCTAAAGAGGCCCTTTCCCTGTAAAGGATAATGTCAAGTAGGAAAAATATCCCTGTGTGAGCTGCAGTCCCCATTTTAGCAGATCCCAAATGGACTTTCTCCATGACTCTCAGCCATACCTAAACAGTCAGCCCCGACACCTGCCAGACCAGACTGGGTCTTTGAGAGGGAGCAGACCCACGGACAGAGAGGGGCTATTTTTGATGTTTCCAAATTTAAAAAAAAAAGCAGTTCCACAAAGTCAGTGTCTGGATGAGGCCCACTTAAGTGGTCTTATTCAGAAAGCCCCAGAGACAGGCTAATCATGGGGATGACGAAGAGTCTTAAAAATAGCACTGCCATTGTACTTTCAAAATAGCAAATGATATTCTCCTAATGTCCCAAAACAGCTCTGGAAAGGAATTAAATAGCTTTCTCCCACTGGCAAAAGTTACCAAACAAAGTATAAATTAAATACTTCAAAAATAGTGGAGCTACAGGCATAGATGAGAAGGAAGTTGGCCAACATTTCAGGTTCTCTCCTATTGCTTTGCCCAGAATACCTCAATCTTGAGTGTAAAGGATGACACTGGGCTCATTTTCCTATTCATGCACTCGGCTTTGCAGGGGTAGACATAGTCCCTGTGATGACTTCCATACGAGAAGCAGAAAGAGAGCTTACTTCTCTGTCCCTGAGCCTAGAGGTCAAACTGCCAACACATTACAAGAACGAGGGCAAAAGGTCTGAAATGATAGAGTGGCGAGGTCCCTGAACTAGCAGAACATGATAGAGACTATAATGGATTGATGCATCTGACTCAGCTGGCAACTCACAACGTCGTTTTGGCTGTGGAGAGGGGGACACTGGAATTTCCTTCCCTCAATGCCATTGGCATTATCCTATTCAGTTACTACTAAATCTACGCAGGAGTGAGGGGTACAGGCTGTCCAGGGGATGATAAATGCAAATGGCACTTGCTACCTTAGACAAACCCGTTCCTCTGAGCAGCCCTCCCTGGACACTGACTTGTCCCAAATTGCCTGTGTGAGGGGAGTGATGGGCTAATATCAGTATCTCTCTGTACCTGCTGAGCACTTTCTGTTTTGTTTTTTTTTTAGATATGACTTTTTAAAAAATTAAATCTTTATTGTTGAAAATATTACATATGCCCCCTGTCCTCCCCGCTTCCCCCCCTACCCCTGTATTCACTCCTACTAGCTTTCCCCCACACCCCACCCCAGGCCTTCACCACCCTATTGTCTGTGTCCATGGGTTATGCATATATGCATACAAGTTCTTTGGTTGATCTCTTCCCACCCACCCACCTTCCCCTGCTTTCCCTCTGAGATTCCACGGTCTATCCTAAGCTTCTGCCTCTGGATCTATTTTATGCATCAGTTTATTTTGGTCATTAGACTCCACATATGAGTGAGATCATGTGATACTTGTCTTTCTCTGACTGGCTTATTTCACTCAGCAAAATACTCTCCAGGTCCCTCCATGCTCTCTCAAGGGGTAAGAGATCCTTCTTTTTCACTGCTGCATGGTATTCCATGGGTACATGCATCACAGCTTTTTACCCAGGTGTCTACTGATGGGCACTTGGGCTGTTTACATACTTAGCTACTGTCAATTGTAAGCATGTTCTTTCAATCCCCACTTTCGCAATCAGAGGAGGGGAGTAGAAGGGAGCGTAAGCTCCCTGTGGCCCTGTGTTTCTCTGGAAACAGCCCAGTTACTGCATGTGTTTCCCGTGTGGCTGCGGAGGTCAATACGCTGCTCTTACAGCATCTTCCAGTTCCCCCTCGGTCTCTGCTGCTATGCTGAGGGCGCTGTTTCCCTCCAGGAGACTCTGATGGGGTTCCTGAGTTCCCTGTGGGTGCGGGTGGAAGGAGGACACTTTCGCACCCACAAAACACCAGTGGGCAGAGGGCACTGAGCCTTCAGAGGAAGCGTTGGCATTTGCCTAAAACAAGAACACTCGACATTTGTGACGTTAATAATAGGCCTGGGAGATTTATTAAAGCACAGATGGCTGGGCCCTGCTTTCGGAGTTTCTGACTCACTAGATCGGGTTTGGAGCCCGAGAATTTGCATTTCTTATCAGCTCCCAGGTGATGCTGAGGTGCCGGCTGGGGGACCACACGCAGGTGACCCCTGAACAGGGGATGCTTTGGAAAAGTTCGGCCTTTATTTTTCTATCCCAACATATTTCCACTTTGAAAGTGCTGGAGCCTATTCATATAACCACAGATTTTTATGAATACTGTGCGCTCTAGGAAAATCCACTTAAAATTTGGTTTCCTAGAAAAAACAAAATCAAAGCAGCGGGAAATTGCAAAATGTGAACTGGTAATAAGCACACAAATGAATAAAACTAGATTCAAAAGGTTGGTGTATATGAATTTTTCTCCCCTACAACCCAGGAAAATAACTGCACTTTATTAATACAGAATAATCACATATTTACCTGCTCATGAGACTATCAACTCACTTTTTAATATAAAGAACATAATTATCACTGAAAAACAAAAATGTACCAACAACATTATTTTTTTAAGCATGGGTAATTTTCCTCTGGAAACTTGATCTATAAATAGATAGACAGATCTAAAACAGCCATTCTAAATGACCCCCTTCTATGTTTAAAACTGAACCCAATGCATTTCCCCACGATTTTGGAAACCGGAAGTGGTCTCGAAAGGAATTCCCCATGAAGGGTATTTTCACCACGTGCTGATTAAAACAGTGCAGTTGTTTCCCATTATTCATAACAAGCGTTTTACAATAAGCTAAACGATTCTAAAGTGAATTAAGTTGCTTACCTTGGAGCCTCGCTCATTAAAAATAATTTCAACATCTAAGATTTTACCAAATTGCTGCAAAGAAATAGAAATATTTTATAAGCAAGAGGAAAAATGGAGGAAATCATATTATGCACATTGGTAATGGTACCCCACGTCAGAATCTTCTGTTCTTTTTTAATAGACAAAGATATTGCATTTTATTCTGTGCTGTCATTAAACAGTGCCCTTGAAAAAACAAGCACACATGTTATTTCCATGCCCCACAGAGTGGGAGAGCGGAGTAGGGGCCTGCCTGGTACAAAATAGGTAATCAAGAGGTTATTTCTATTTTCCTTTCTTTATGTGTGCAGGATGGCTTTCCCAGGCACTGAGCAGCAAAGATTAAACATGGCTAATGTATCTGCCGACCCGTCTAGGTCACTCCACTAATCACAGGAGAAAAACCCTGAAGAAGTGGGATTTGGGTAGTAAAATGTCCAAGCGGAAGATGAGGTTGGGGATTTTGATCCCAAGCCCTCATAAAACAGCCAGGCCATGTAAGACAAGTAAAGTACAAACAGATAAAAGCAAGATCCACTACCCGGACGCCCGTCAGAATCCACACACCAGCACAGTTGTGATTAGACCTCGGGCTGAAATGTACTTCTCTCCAGATGATTCTCCATGTTGTTAAACAAACAAACATATCTTAGACAATTAGCAGGA